CTTCTCCTCCTTCTCCTCCTTCTCCTCCTTCTCCTCCTTCTCCTCCTTCTTCTCCTTCTTCTCCTCCTCCTTCTCCTCCTTCTCCTCCTTCTCCCCCTTCCCCTCCTTCTCCTCCTTCTCCTCCTCCTTCTCCTCCTCCTTCTCCTCCCCCTCCTGCTCCTTCCCCTTCTCCTTCTCCTTCTCTCCTTCTTCTCCTTCCCCTTATCCTTCTCTCCTTCTTCTCCTTCCCCTTCTTCTCCTTCTCCTTCTCCTCCTCCTCCTCCCTCCTTCTCTTCTGCTTATGTTTCTGCTTCTGTTTCTTATTATTGTTTCTTATTGTTCTTATTGTTCTCTTCAATTTCTATATTTTATAAATTATTTTTCATCTTATTATTATTCTTATTCTTCTTATTCTTCTTCTTCTTCTTCTTCTTCTTCGTCTTTCCCTCTTATCTATCATTATGCTGACCATCTTCTTCTTGCTCTTGCACTCCCATCACACCCTCCTGGTCCTGCTTCAAAAAAACTGTCGGCGAGCGTGTAAATATGTGCCCAGCACCATGCTGTCCCCAAAGGAACCACGACAGCGTGGTAATTTTGTCCCATTGGTTTTTGTTTTGTGTTCGGATGCGCCTGAGGATGAGCCTTTGTTCAGCTGTACATGACGCTGCATCATGAGTGGCATCCGCAAACTCGGATGGCGGAGACCCAACTTGGGAGTCTAGACTCAGCCTGTACTGCTTCCATGCTTCAAGAACAGCATCAACAAGTAGGGAACTCTCAGCTGAGTCAAGTGTGACATACTGGGCGAAGTTCTGCCGAGCAAGTTGCGCTGTCTCATCTGCCCTTTCGTTCGAGCAATTTCATTTTCTGGCTGGTTACTATTTTCACGGTTTTCACTCTGAGCAAGGCAGCCGGCTGCTTTGCTTTAGCCAGTTTGGACACAGCCTTCAGTTGTTGGGGGTCCAGGATTTTTCAGCTTGCAAGCTGGAGTCATCTTGTCAATGTGGTGTCAGGCAGGATGACTGGAATGCCGTGCGTTCCGAACTGACTCACTCGAACTGACTCACTGACGCTTTGCCACCATATGTGCCGGCCAAACAAAACGATGCATCTACATGCATCTAATGTCCCCTGTGTGGAAGAGGCATCGTTACGACGTGCATATTATCATATGTGCGCGCTGTGCTATCATACATGAGTGCGAGCACAACAGAGCTCGCGCAGTGGAAACTGACGTTAATATCCCAGCCCAACCCCCCCCAACCACGCCGCCCTACCGGCGCGCTGCAATACGTGCCACACAGGCGCAATCGGAGCAAATTGCGGAACTCCAAGGGTGTATCAAAAAAGCAATGCCGCAATCATATGGACATTTTTGCACGAAAACAACGCATCTGCTTGACATGCATGTGCAAGTGCGAGTGTCAAGACGACGTGCAAAATACGTGGCAGGCCCGGTGCTTAGTGCACTGCCAAAAAGCCCCGATTGCGAAGCGTGTTTCGACAGACAGGCGCGGCAGATTAAAGATCTCCTGCACCAAGGGAGGTGGCTGAAAGAACATGTAGATTAGATGGCAGGTGTATTCTTTTCTGAAGTTCCATGAATCACCAGTCTCCAAAAGGATATATAGATTTCTCCTTCAAACACCTTCCATGCCAGTTCCATGTGGCCTGGCTGAGGTTTCGCATCCTGTGCGCTGGTGAGGTGTAGGGGGAGGAAGCTCAGGCCAGGCTCCGTCAAAATCCATCGAGCAAGTAGCTCCACAGTGGCCATTTGACAACCAAAACTGCAAAACGGGTTTTGTGGTGGGGAGTACAACCCGACTGTCCTCAACTTCTACAAGCTCACACATCGAAGGTGATCATGAGCTCGTCCAGCAGTGTGCTGCCCTAGCACCCAACCAAGTACTGGTGGGCCTTTGTGCATTGGAGAAGTTCTCCGATGTTCTCCGAGGCTCTTGATGAAGATGTCGCAGCTGTTGGGCAAGCGGCGAGCGTTAGAACCAGTCAGCTTCTCTCCTTGCAAGCGCTTGTTCGTGCCTGTATTCCTGCAGACGTGTGGTAGTGGGCCCAATCCGGTATCGAGGCCTCAATAGCTGAGGGGAGCGGACATCACATTTGGCCCATACTTGTACTAGAGGTCTTGGGGATTGAGCGTTCGTTCTTGCAATGCTGGAACAGGTTCTTAAAAGGTCTTCAAAGAGACTTCGTGGTGCGTCAGTCGGGTCTTGCTTCCAAGAGTTCGTGCAGGTTTCTGGAGGGCTGTCCGGCCATTGTCAGTCATTTGTTGACAACCTGGAGGCGGTTGGCACATGTTGAGCGGGCTGTCGACTCGTTGTGCGATGACGTGGGATGGCACCACGGACTCGTTCATGCTGGTCCTTCTGCACCTTTTTGAGGTTGATTCAATACAGACCGACGGAAGCTCAAACTCTGCCACAGAACAAGCCCACAGTTGTCTCAATAAAACATGAGGCCCAAGGAATTCACCCTGTCTTCCTGCTTCCTGCTGGTGTTGTGCACTCCTGCTGTTCTCTACCACGTCAAAAGAATCTCCAATCTATTCTAGCGTCTCACACATACGCTGCAGAATGCCAAAGGAAGAAAAACACTTCCACCCGAGTTGGCACAAAGCATGTCTCAGTCACACTCACCGTTCCAAGACCAGTCACAGTGGTGCGGACCCTTTCGATTCCGCCATGTTCCACAGCATCTGACACAGCTCCCCTCAATGCAGCTCGGTGCAAGCGGCAAGCGCTGCTGGCACCTCCCGAACTTCAGACTCACAAAGTGCTTGTCACGCTGAAAATTCTGCGAAATCTGTGCATCTTGCTACTAAATTCCGGCATTCTACCCACTTTTTTGTCGCCTTCCACAAGGAGCTCCATGGACGCCTTGAAGCTTTGAAAGCTGCCCATCTCCAAGAACCTCTGTAGCTCGTCCTCATGCAGGTATGGTTGACATGTACACTCCCTCTCACCTAGCATGGACGTGGAAAAACCCCTGTTCATAGAGCAAAATGTCCACTTCCACACAATTAGTGGGTCCAAGTGTAGCTCGATCATGTCAACTGTGCCACCCCCAACACGTGCCGCACCTTGATTTCGGGCGGGAGAGCCTGTGCAAAGTCGTCGTCCTGGCAAGAACTAAGACTACGAGCCTGCAGCTCTGTTCAGAAATGCAAGTGAACTCAGACAGTATCTTCCCTCCATTTCCCTCCAGTATGTTGGGAGACCCAAAGCAAATCAATTTGAGATAACTGGTCATTGGTGCAATGCCACATGGCGGCTTGGACTGCCTTCCAGTCTATAGAATATTTAACTATGTATATAACATTATATAACTAGTAATACTGTTTCATCAACATTCTCATTTTCCAATCATGTCGATGCGGCCAACGCCAACCCTGAAATCCAATCCAAGTGAATGATTCAACTCAATGAATTCATGTACGGGAAAAATGCCCACAAACACAACACACGTACGCGTGGCTTCATGGTGTACTTCTGGACGGCGTGGTTTATAATCTTCTTCAAATCAAGGTCATGAACTTGCCCATGTTGCTTTTCAATCGCAATAGACCATCTGAGTCTGTTGGCTACAAGTACCTGTCATCGTACAGCATGCTCTGTTGGTTGTTAGACCATCTTGGAATGTTGGACGCACACATTCCTTGCAAGTCTTGGAACAAAAACGGCCACGAAAGCCTCATTTGGAACAGAAACGGAAAACAAGAAACAAAACAATGGGATGAATCCTCAACTGGCGGCCAGCCGTGCCTCAGCGTGCCTCTGAAACGCCGCAAGGGCCTGCAAGAACAGAGTACATCTTACACCCAACAAAATTCACAAGAACTAAAACGTGGGCTTTTAACATGCTTCTCCAAAGAAACCTCAAAAGCAAGCGCGCCCATGCCTTACGTGCCTTTTCAGAGTTGTCTCCAGGTGCCCATTCTGCCTACAGGATTGCTGCTGGGTGATGTGTTCATCCGTGACTTTGGAAGAAGGCCGAAATAGCGGTTGACTCCATCGTTCTCGTGCTCTCATGGTGGACTCAACAGTCTTTTGATAAGCTGATGAGAAGCAAGAACGCTACTAGTAGCAAGGTGCCTTACTAGTAGTAACAAGAAGCTACTAGTAGCTCCTGGCATTGCTACTAGTAACAAGAAGCTACTAGGAGCAAGGTGCATCGCTACTAGTAACAAAAAAGCTTTCTATGTTACCATGCCTGGTGTGAGGAGGGTCTTCCAGCAGACTTCGCTGGCTCTGCCTCAAAGCATTGGCGGCATCAGTCAACAGCTTCAATAAAGAAAACATTTGCAACTGATGTGCTCTCACTGTCTAAACAAACAAAGTTGTGCAAACAGCTGGAAGTGCAAAGGGGCAGTGCACTCTCTTCATTCTTGAAAGAGGCAAGCATATAACGTGGTGGATTTGTGGGCAGGATTTGTGTTGTGTTGAATTGCTTGGAATGCACTGGACAATCAGCACCTGCTCTGAGGAAGGCCTTCTGTTAGGTTTGGATGGCTCTGCCTCCAATTTTGTGTCTGCACCACTGCACCAGCTTAGTGGACGGTTGATCAACTAAGCAAACACACCACCATGCTGCTCATGTGGTGTAAAAATGTGTCTTGCAAGCCTTGTCATCCTCCTCTCGGTGAAAGGTTCTTTCAGCATCCACGTCGTCCTACACATGAGAGACATGCTCTTCATTTGTTCAAGCTGATGAGAATCTGTTCATAGTCTTGATGCAAAGCCATGCCTGCTGGGAGGAGTGTCTTCTTGCGGCCTTTGTTGGCGTTGCGTTCATCACTCCCAGGCATTGGCGAAAAGAAAAACCACTGGCGTCGACCGGTCATCTCAGACAAAACGACTAGTTGAGAGGCTGCCCATGGAAAATAACGTGCAAACAGGCCATTTGACCCGTGCACCAACCCCTCACCCAAACCCCTCTGGAGAATTGCCAATCCCCAAGCTCATTTTGAGTGCTGCGACACCCCCAACAAAAAGGGTCGCCTTGCTTGCACACTGCCAAAACGCTCGTGGCCCACTTCAAACCCCTCTGTCTTGATCAATCATTCCAACCAAAGCAGGATCAGGCTTTGCATCTGTGCCTTGACCCTCCCTCTGTGGGCTATGCGCTCTGGGTGGGGAAGCTCATCTGGTTTCTTCATCGGCTTCGCATTTTGGACAACATCGAAGGGTTTCTTTTGTGTTTTGTTTCATGTGCTGCCCTGGTGCCCTTGCTACTACAAGCTAAGGCCGCCTAATGACCAGTGTGGAAGAGAAACCACCAGCCTACAATAGAAAGAACACACAGAAACATGAGATGCACACCGGAGCTACATGGCAATTACAAAGAAAATGAACGGGGTGGACCATCGCACAAGCACGCGACACACCACTTCCTCTGGGGCTTGTTGGGCTTGCTACCTGAGGCCCCCATCAAGTGAGCAGTGAGTTCTAAATGGTTTGCCTTCTTTCCCACGGCCCCAGTTGCTAAAGAGGTCTGCAAAAAGAAAAAGAGTTTTGCAGAAAATGTGTATATACAGCCAAAACGGAGTAGGTGGAGGAGCTACCAAACCTGCAACTTCATTGAGCCCTTTCATAGGTTGTCCAAAGCGGATATGCTTGTTGGAACTCACCTGCGAATGCATTCTCTTCCTGAAAGCCAAATGGCGCATCAAGCCTGCTCCCCCTTCATTCTCACAGATGGAGCTATGAGAGTCCTTCTCCAATCAGAACCAATCAAATATCTTGGTGCAAAACCACGCCTGCTGTGAGGAGGGTCTTCCAGCAGACTTCGCTGGCTCTGCCTCAAAGCATTGGGGCATCAGTCAACAGCTTCAAAAAAGAAAACAACTGCAACTGATGTGCTCTCACTGTCTAAACAAACAAAGTTGTGCAAACAGCTGGAAGTGCAAAGGGACAGTGCACTCTCTTCATTCTCGAAAGAGGCAAGAATATAACGTTGTGGATTTGTGGGCTGGATTTGTGTTGAATTGCTAGGAATGCGCTGGACAATCAGCACCTGCTTTGAGGAAGGCCTTCTGTTAGGTTTGGATGGCTCTGCCTCCAATTTTGTGTCTGCACCACTGCACCAGCTTAGTGGACGGTTGATCAACTAAGCAAACACACCACCATGCTGCTCATGTGGCGGAAAAATGTGTCTTGCAAGCCTTGTCATCCTCCTCTCGGTGAAAGGTTCTTTCAGCATCCACATCATCCTACACGTGAAATGCTTGACGTTCAAGACATCTTGCAATGATCTACAAGGTTCTTTTTGGCATTTTCCTGTATTTCGCACCTTCCGTTCAATCTTCAGGTGCTTTATCGAACAGCGCCGTTTGCCTGGCCCGACTGGCGTGACCCACAACAGAAAGCAAAGGGCACCAAGCCAAGGGCACTGGCTTTGGCAAAGTCATACTCGCTCTCGTCTCCTGCGACGAATGAACTCGTTCCATCACTGTGACGAATGAAGAATCT